AATGTCCCGCCGGTCGAGCTCGGGCGACGACGCGTATTCCCTCAGCCGCAATCCAGCAAATCGATCAGAAGTCGACCTCTCCAGCGTCGTATCATTAGCCCCAAAGAGCGCTGCCAGGCTTCGTAGAGCAGCACGCTTCCTTCGCTTCAGGGGAGGGAACGTGCTTCTCAACATGACATGTATCACTCGACCATCAGCGAACCAACCCGGCCAGGATTGATAGCCTCTCTCGTTCAGAAAGCGGCTCAGCCACCGACCAAAGTTGATTCGCATTGCCAAAGTAGGACTCTGGCGAGGCGGACGAGAAAGCTTCGAAACAGCAGCGACGAGGAGAGGTGAAACTGATACGAGCATTGTTATCAAGCATATTGCATATCGAGCAAGCTGCTCACCTCGTCCAGCGTGTGATGAAGTTCCTGCATAGACCTCACAGGCAGCTGAGTGGAGCAAAATTGCCTGATAGAAGTCTTGAAGGCGCATAAGTCTCGAATGCTGTGGTTCCAGACGCAGCTGTGGGAACCCTGACAAGACAAAACTCCTCATGCGCACAGCCCGTCGTAGGAAGAAGACCCCTCACCTGCTTCCAGAAGCATCTCTACCTCCCTGTTACATTCATACCAATTCACATACCCATGTTGTTCCATCATCGCAGTCGTCCATCTACCGAGGAGGGATTTCATCAAATCAGGTACGATATCCTGAAGAGCACAACAGACGTGTACATAACCTCTCACTGTGGTACGAGTCCTCATGCCTGATGGTAGATTTCGAACAGGTGATAGCGGCAAGGTCACCAAAAACACCGAAGGAAATACGGTTCACAAAAGCACCAGCAATGGCCAGTCCCTCTAGCCTCAATAAAAGTCCCTTTCCTCACCCCCTTGTGCTCCGCGACCATTCTAGGTGTAAAATAGACACATGATTTCACCCATTCGACAACCTCATCGATCTCCTTCTTCGAAACGCCCCCCGAGGGCAACGCCAGAGGGTTGCCTTGATGCTCCTCGTTACCGTAGCCCAGCCGATGGGTAAGGCGCCGCTGAAAAACAACAGAGTATACTAAATTGATCCAGGAAAATCCTAATTCACTATGAGCTCTCACCCACCGAGTCTTGAATCTTATTAACTATAATTTAAAATAGTATGCACATATACATACCAGCAATGAGTGAACTTATACTCTAAAATTGATCAAAACGCACATAGTGCGTTGAATGCTCACCTTTCTTTCAGCATCGCCGACAATACGCGTTCTGCTCACTTCAGTGGCCGCTAGGAGGACTTTCGCCCGACTCCTCCTGTTCAGCGCCCCGGGCATAACCTCCATAATGGCGAAGCCAGCGAGCAGTCCAATGACGACCAGACCGAACAACTGAAGGTTAAATATCCTATTATCCTATCGATATCTATCTATCGTTGTATTGAGGGATGATATCATAATCTCTACCACTATTTCATATTTAACAAACAATAGAGTAATACCGGCGACATGGACGAACACATTTCATTTCGAGAAAAACGCCTGTGAACAGTGAATGAAGTGTATAACACGCGATTGTGTTATGAGTGATACGGGGTGATTTGTCCAGTGTAATTCGCCAAGTGTTTTCAATTCACTTCACATCGCGTTTTTCACATGGAGTAATACACCACTTCACGTGAAACTCCAATGTAAGATAATACCACATATGAGCTCAATGAGCAACCATTATCATTATTATATAATAACAGGAGAGTCTCCGACCGGTCCGGTCGTATGCAATAGGAGATAAACCCAACCTATAAGAAGACTGACCATGCAATAAGGTGCCCGTCTGTCCTTGTCGTAGAGGATTCCCGATAATAGAATAGCCATGATCTTCCAGACGTTGAGGTCCAAAGCCAACAAGCCCATCACAAAACTCTTCTTGGACGGGTCACAAAGTCTTGAAAAAATCTGAATAAAAAAGATATCCAAGAAAGCTCTTGAATGCGATTAATCGTGATTGCTATTCGGTCAAGTTGTGTAACTAGGTTATGTTCTTTGGGCCCAGGGGAGATCCACACATATAACATCACCTACGACAACCTATGCCCAGAGGCTCCTAACGACCTTCGAAAAACAGTAGTGTCGATGCACCCTCCACTATGGTGCATCGCTCCGCTAGCCAAAATCAAGAATATGTAGTTGACAGATTTTCCATAGGAATATTCGCACATTTTGAAGCTACGACCAATACCAAAAATTCCACGTAGTCCAAACAACGCCTCAGTGGACAAGAAGTTCAAAGCGATGAGAGTTGACCTCCACCACTAGGAGGGCCCAACCATGTATGCGACATGGACTACGATACACAT